TTATTTTTATGGGAACTGTAATGAAAAAGATTGTTAATGTTGTCATTTCAGTATTACTAAATGTTTTACTAATTGTATGTTACTTCGATTAAAGCCTTTGTTATTTATCTCATATATCTCGGATAAAATATAATATAATATGCTGATATGCCTATAAACTTGAAATCTGTCAAGATATTTTTTTATTATTTGATGTAAATAATTACATTTAATGAGATATATTTGTTTCTATAAGTATATTAAAGATAATATTTTTTAGTAGGTGTAAACTTTTGATACATTCATATATTTGTGCAGGAAGTTAAACTTTAAATGTGACATGTAAACTTGATATGTGGGTGCATCTTGATGAGTTTTGCATGACACAACCATTTTCAGGTCAAAAAGGTCAAAGGTCAAGGTTATTGTGACCTTTAATACAAATAATATTTATTATTTTGAAAATATTCAGTGTATTATCCACCACTGAGAGGAGCGACAGCTTTTGTTAAGTGTTATGTTTGATTTTATATCTATTAGACTTTATAATACATGTAATTCTTTTATCTGTTAAAAGGAACTGTAAACACATTTTATTTTTATTTGTATAAAAAAAATTATTTAATTTTATTTTCACTAAAAAAAGTTTTTTTAGCTTTATGGGATTGACACTGCGATAATTACTATAATGAATACATGTATTTGAATTATTTTTGAAGAAATATGTTATATTTGATGATAAAGTTTATGATAGTTTCCAATTAGTGCCAGAATTTAGATTGCCTATCATATATATTAGTGTGGTATAAGATCATTACTGGATTATACTTTTTTTTTTTTTAGAAGTATTAAAGATATACTATGCTCATCCTTTAGTGAAATATTTTAATCACAGAATTTTTTTGAAATCTATGAAATTCTTAATGATTATGTCTCTGTTTTGAATAAATTAGAATAAATAAACTGTGTATGGGAAGCTGCATTCCCTATTACAGGTCTTTAAATTTTCTGAAAAAATATGCCAGTTTTCTAATGACACTTTATATTCATATTATGACCACATATAGTGTGTAGACTTTTAAACATATCTACTTTGTGTGAAGTTAAAACCTGTTTATTTTATATTTACAAAGAGACTGTGTAGGAATTATCAAAATTTTCTTATGTCAAATTTGAGCATAGTATATCTTTAATAAATAAAGATATCAGTAAAACATGGAAAATGATAGTCAATAATTACTGGTCCATTGTTAGTGATACGGACGATGTGACATAGTTTTCACGAATTGTGTAAGTTATTATTTATGTTTTATTTAATAATAAAAATGTTCAAAACTACAATGTTTTATTTTTAAATTTGAGAGACTATCAGGTATGGTTAGAAAAAATGCTAACCTTTTAAATGACGACTTAATAACCGTGTAAAACATTTAACTGACTGTACTAATAAATCCTTAGATTTTCAACATTAACTTTGTTTCTTTATGTCAAGATATGCCATTTTGTTCCTATTTTGTTACTCAAAATGATTACAATACATATGGAGCTATGGATTGCACATTAATTGATCAGATCGGAAAAAACACATTGTTAAGTACAACTAAAATACAAACAATTGTGATATCTAGTCATAAAAAAAGCTAAGGTAATATTTAGAATCAATTTAAATCTTTTCCGCCCCTTAGTCAAATACTCGGTTACAGGTTTCAAACCGGTTTTTAGCTAAAAAGACAGTACCCTTTTAAACCGATATATGTGACACCCCTAATCTGGACTAACTCAGATGATATATAAAATTCACAGGGAATCAATGTCAGAAACTTTTTATCAAAGCTTTGGTATTCATGTTCACAATCAAAGTTTGACATTATAAATTAAAAAGGCAGATAATCAAAAAAAAATCTTCTTTAATAAATAAATTTATAAAGAACAATTTATTTGTTTGCTTTAAGGAAAAGTTAAAAAATGTTCCGTCCGGCCGTCTGTCAGTTTTTCCTTGTCCCCACAACAACTTAAGATTCCTTTGACCCACAGTCTTTATATTTGGCATTGTGGTTAGTCATGATTAGTAGATGACCACTATTGATTTTGAGGTCATAGGTCAAAGTCACAGGTGCCTTGACAAGAAAGGTTGTCTGCCAAATAACTTAAGATACCTTTGAATCACAGTCTTCATGTTTGGCATGGAGGTTAGTCGTGATTAGTAGATGACTCCTATTGATTTTGAGGTCACTGGGTTAAAGGTCAAGGTCACAGGGGTTTTGAATTAAAAAAAAAAAAGCTTGTCCACTCGATTACTTAACCCATTGCATTTTATGAAAAGTGGGAGCATATATCGTTGCACTTGTTCGTCCGTTTGTCTGTCCGTCCGTACGTCCCGAAATCTTGTGAAAGCAAATCCTCTTAAACCGGATGGCAAATTTTGCTTAAACTTACAGGGATGAACAACATAAATGTGTAGTTGGCAGTAAAGGAAGGAATATTTGCTGCGACCAAATTTAACAGAATTATGAATATTTGTTGATTTTTTTCACTATATACTATGTAGAAATTTTGTGAACGCAACTCCTGTTAAACCGGACGGCAGATTTTGCTTAAACTTACAGGGATGAACAACCTTAATGTGTAGATGGCAGTAAAGGAAGAAATTTTTGCTGCGACAAAATTTAACAGAATTATGGCCCTTTGTTGATTTTTTCACTATATACCATATAGAAATTTTGTGAACGCAACTCCTTTTAAACCGGACGGCAGATTTTGCTTAAACTTCTAGGGATGAACAACCTTAATGTGTAGATGGTGTTTAAGGAAGGAATTTTTGCTGCGACCAAATTTAACAGAATTATGGCCCTTTGTTGATTTTTAGTTTTCAACTTGTTGCACATGTAGTGCAAAAAATATTTGACCTAGAGTCATAAGATTGACAGAACAGTGGCTTGTGGGGGCATTCGTGTCCTATGGACACATTTCTAGTTTCCATCAAAATTGATTTCAAAGTGCTGCAACTTCTCAATGGATTGAGATAGAGTCAAAGGCTTTTCAGCATTGGTTACACATTACCTTCATTTTTAGCCTCTCACAAGTCTAAAATTTTCTTGGCCATGAGGGGGACTACCGCCCTCCTTCAAAACCACCAAACAGAAGGGGGCACATCCCCCTTCTAGCAACCCCCTGATGTATCTTTTGGATGGGGGGAAGGGCCTAAAAAGTGGTCACTTTTCTAAACCACATTTCTCAAACAAAAGCAAGTGTTGGGGGCCTAAATAAGGCATTTCCTCACCTTTTGAGACAACACAAAAGGGGGGGGGGGGGGTGAAAAGGACGAAGAAAGGCGTATATATCTGGTTATGGGTCATTATTCCTTTGACCCACAGTCTTCATATTTGGCATGGACGTTAGTTATGATAAGTAGATGACCCATATTGATTTTGAGGTCAAAGGATCAAAGGCCAAGGTCACATGGGCCTTTACCAAAAAAAAGATTGTCCGCCCAATAACTTAAGAATCCATTGACCCATGGTCTTCATATTTGGCATGGAGGTTGATCATGACCATAAAGTGACTCCTATTGATTTTGAGGTTACTGGGTCAAATGTCAAGGTCACGGGGCTTTGACTAAAAAGCTTGTCTGTTCAATTTCTTAAGAATGCTTTGGTCAACAGTCTTCATATTTGATATGACTATTAGATGACCTCTATTGATTTTTAGGTGACTGTACACAAAGGTCAAGGTTACAGGAGCTTTTTCTACAGTAATACTGTCTGCTCAAATGCTTAAAAATTCCTGTCCAAAGTGTATTGATTTTGATATTGTCACATTTGAAGCAATAATAATAAATAACTTAGCAATACACTGGCTTCCTAACCTCAGATTTGGCAGGGTGGTTGCCCTTGAGCTCTAAATGACTACTGTTGATTCTGGCAAATTGGTATGCAGGGGTATTTATGCCATGACAGTGGCATTTCTAGTTTAGATAAGATAACCAAGTGGTTATTGATTCTGACATATAATCACATGCTCCTTTCTACTGTTGATTTAAATCCTGCCAGGAAGTTTGAATTCATTTTTGTGAAGGAATTATCTAGTTAGCTTTCTAAATGGGTTTGAATCCTGCTTGGGACATTGCAATCTTTTATGTGAGGACAACTAGCTAACAGTACGTGTGTGGGGTGTAAAATACATTTACTTTACATATTGACTTCAAATCTGGATTCAATTGACCCTTGAGGTGCATCTGTGTCCAAGGTTAAGGTTGATGACCTTGATTCAATTGAGGGGCATCCATTGCCTGAGAGGTAAAGGTTGCTGGCCCTCGATTTAATTGACCGTTGAGTGGCGTCCGTGGTCGAGTGGTAAAGGTTGCTGACGTTGATTTAATTGACCCTTGATGAAAGGTTAAGATTGCTGGCTTAAATTCAATTGACCGTAGAGTGGCGTCCATGGCTGAGTCTTAAAGGTTGCTGATCTTGATTCATCAATTGACCCTTGAGGGCGTCCGTGGCCGAGAGGTGACGGTTGCTGACCTCGATTCAATTGACCCTTGAAGGGTTTGGGTGGTGGAGAGTTTGACATTGCTGACCCCGTCTCAATTAATCCTTAAGGGGCATTTGTGGTGGAGAAGTTAAGGTTATTGACTTCACACCACTTGCCTCTTACTTCTTTCAGTTCGACTCGCATCAGTCTCTTCAGATTCTACATGTCAGAAAGCCATCTAGCTAGTTGTTTTACGCATGTACTCATTTGTGCCTGACGTAATGTACAGATGAGCATATGAGGTCTTCCTTTACCAGTAAAGCTGAAAAGTTGTCGGATGACCTATACTGTTTTTGTGAGACGATCAATCCAACACACACGAACCCAAAAACACACACAAAAAAATTGACCATTTTTCATGAGGAGCTTTATCCTGCCAGGGACATTAGATTCTTTCATGACAGGAAATTATCTATGTATCTTTCTCCATCAGTAAAGTTGGAAAAATATATTTATTAAAACCCAACAACACCAGTAACAAAGTAATTAAGATTGTTTCAGGCAATTTGTTTATTCTGAAATTTTTTGCATCATTCAAATTATTAGTATCTTGTTGATAAACATCTACAATTATACATATTTTTTTCTTGTGACTGCAACATGATTTACAAATGATAAGCAACATGTACAAGCAACATCACAGAGATACCATTTTAATGTCATACAAAGCATTAAAAATCAAGTAATTATGTAAAATAATGAAAATTGTTTTGCCATTATACAACTGTGGTTTCATGTAAAGTAGATATAAGCATATTGTTAGAACATGTATATATTATTTACAATACACAATATAATTTTTTTTTAACAATGAAATAATTGTATATACATATTTTAGTATTATATAAAATATGCTTCATTACAATATCTAAAGCATATTCCTATAATCTACTTGGGTAACTTGTATAGGATAAATATAGAATCTTTGAGAATATAAAAAAATGTAATTCACTTTATGTTTATGTTATGAATTATGTTCATGTATAATATATACAATATAAAAATGTTATTTACTTATATGTATGTCCATTTATAATATAATGTCATACTCTCAAATCACCTTGATAACTTGTGCATAGTTGTATATCATATATAAAGAATTTCTGAGTATGCAAAAACATATATGTTCATATCACTTTTTTTCATGATTGTCTTATTTCATGTTGTAGATTCATTCTTATATTTAATGACAATTACCACATCCTTCAATAACAATTTTATCATTGACATTTATAACACTCTGTTTAACATTTATATTACAATAACTCTTAATTGATATCATGATTATAAATCATTGTTTTTTTTAAATTTATTTACTTATCAACTGATCAGATATCATACACTTCAATGTTGTCTGTGTTAAATCTGCTTATACACATCTTAGACATTTGTTGATTACAACATACTGACCGAATTCCTGGTTTTCCACTGACAGCTTTTATGACCTCTCCTATCAGCTTACCATCAGATGTAAGCTGTAAAACATTATTGGAGTCAAATCCAGATACCAGCACACTACCTGCTTCAGTAAGATGACAATATGAAGCCCTCTTTAATTGTTCACCATTAAATGTTGTAACAATCTGACCATTGTTGTCTAGTACTTTCAGTCCTTTATGACCATCAGCAACATAAATCCTTGTAGCATCCTTACTGACAGCTAGACTTTGTATGTCAGAGAACAGTTTCTGTCCTGGCTGGTCAGTACTTAACTGTTTAAGTTTCCTGCCAGACATTGTGTAGATATAGACTGATGTCTTATCTGAAATATATAAATCATTGTTTGCATATGCAAGACCAATACAGTAAAAATCAGTTTTAATCTTGTTTAATGTTTTCATTTGACTGTCTACAGAAATGAAATGAACTTCCTGTTTGGTGTATAATGTTACTGCTACTTGTGTTTCATGAATTTTACATATTTGATATGGCTCTCCATGTAGATTATAGCAATCTGTGATGATATAATTTTGACTATCTAACCGTTTAAGCTTGTTGTTGCTGAAATCAGCTAGGATTATTGTATCATCTTCCATGTAGCAGGCAGAGTAGATATCACTAATTTCTTCATCAGACTTTTGTTTGACACAGCACGATTGTCCTCCTGTAATCTGAAGCAACTTGTCAGCAGTCTCTATAGTTTTCTCTGTTAGCATGCCAATTGATTTGTTTTGTTTCAGCTGTTGAAGGAGATTTCTGTAAGAATGGAACTCTATGTCACTTACTGTTTTATTCACTTTGGTATCTTCTATAAATTTGTTGGCAACATTTTCAGCATCTTCCCCCATTTTTACATGAACAAACAATTCAGCTTGATTTGGGTTTGGAGATGCTAATTTATCATAAGCTGATGTGACCTTTGCTTTGTGTTCTTGCAGCTGTTTGAGACCTTCTTCAATCTTGTCTTCAAGAAGTTTGAATTTATTTGCTATCTCATCTATAGAACTCTTCTCAAGCTTGTCAAGTTGATCATTAATTTCTTGTCGGAATTTTCTGATATCATCCAGTAATTCAGCCTTTCTTTTCAGAAGGTTCTGTTTATCCTGTTGAAAGTTGTTAGCTTGTACAGCAAAGATCTTGGCTAATGCCTTCAGCTTTGTTTGAATTTCTCTTGAAGCCACTTGGTAAGATTTGTTTTGGATGAAGTCTGGTATATAGAATATATCCTTACATGATCTGAAAAAAAAGGAATTAAGTCTGTTTAGGCATCTAAGAGGGAAAAACATTAATCTGATTATCTTGTTAACCTTCAGGTTGCAGAATGATAAATCTATCAGCCCTTACCTGCCAAAGTAATAAGTTAATTAAGCTGATTAATTTATTAATTCTTACCCAGTAAAAAAACACCTATTTATTTTCAATTGATGAACAGTCTGAAAATAAAAGTAGGTGATATTTGTAGAAAAAGATTAAAATTGTGTTGTAATCATTGCTTTGTCAGTTTGAATGTAACTGACTTGTCTGGCTGTGAATTGATGACATAATTTAGTTAAAGACTTTTCCTATTATGCTTCATTTTCTGCAAGGAAATTTAAGCAAGGATGACTAAAACTAATGCAAAAATGTTCTTAAACTTTTCATAACTAAAAAAAAAAATAAAACTGCAATAAATCTATGGAAAGAAAATTAGGGCCACCATCCTTCTTTTTGGTTACCACACTTTAGAGACACATCTGCTTTTGAAAATGAATCAATAAATAATTTTTAAAAAAGCTCACTTACAGGGCAAAATATGATGAGGCTGTCAGCTTTAAGTAATAAATACTAAGTATTAATGAAAATGTATAAATGATTATTATGCTAAAAGTTACCTGTGATCAATTGCCATACATGTAGAACAGCCAACATTATCATGATTCTGACAGTACATATCAATGTGTTTATGACTGTGTCTGTCACATCTTTCTGCTGGTGCCGTCGGTAGAGCTTTACTGGTTCCTGACTTAACTTGAGATTTATCCAACACCTTGTGACCAACACACAGAGGAACTTGACTGTGAACTGTGACACAATTTAAACAGAAATATTCATGACATTCTACACAGAATTTTTCACCTTCAGAATGTTTACCTCGATTTTTACACATTGAACAAAGTACATCAAATATTTCATCATGAAGATTATCCGTATCTATTTCTCCACCTGTAGCCATTTTGCAGAATATCTTTTTGAAACCTGTTTACTTTGTTGATCAATAAAACGTCTCAATATAGATTTTAGCTTGTCCTTATTTCATTTTCATTTGTTTCATGCAATCTTCACAAATTTTTCACTCTCAGTTTTTATACCCGATTTCTTACATATTGAACAAATTACATCAAATATTTCATCAGAAAGAATATCCGTATCTTTTTATCCACCTGTAGCCCTTTTGTAGAATATCTTGTTGAAACCGGTTAACTTTGTTGACTTAACTACAACGCCTAAAGATAGATCTATAAAATAGATCATTTTAAACAAAGATTTTTATTCCTACCGTCACTTTAAACGTGTCTCTTCATAGTGCCTTTTCAACAATAAAGCCTTTTCTCTTCTTAATTCTTGAATGAATAACAATCACCTTTAATTTAACTTTATAGGATTAAGTGACAGTAGTGAATGTTGAAAACAAAGACTTTATTATCTCTCATGTTCACACTTAATTACACACTTTAAAAAATGATTGTCTTGATAATTTGTTCGACCAAAAAGGTTTACATTTGTCAATAATGTACTGTTTTTTTGTTTTTGAAAATTATGGGCCAGAAAGTGTTGTGTTAAGTAAATATATACGGTTCAGATGACATAGGACACAGACATTCCACAAAACTTAACCTAAAATGAGCCAAAGTATGCAGATTACCATTACCTTGCATGTTAAACTAATAGAAAAATAATAAGTTATTTTTTACTTTGTTCACTTTTAACACATGTAGAGGAAAAGTTTATTGCTTTAAGACCATAATTTTCTCGTGTATACGTGTTGAGTTGTGAAGTCTTTCCATTTTTTATTGAGCTTTTAAGTCACTCTAACACAGTAGAGGTCATATGGAAAAAATCCAACTTTAATGGTGGAGGAAGCCGTCAGGTGCCCCTTCATGCATTAGTTCAGGCACGACTCGTCAGTGTCCTGATAAGAACCACTGATGAAGGATAGCTTTCTCACAGGAAAGAAAAATGTTTATTTTTGTCCAGAGTAACAGTTAAACATATAATGTATGAAGTCAGTTTTAACTACTGTAATTGAATATAAAATAGAGAAAACAGAATCCATAAAGAAAGCCCAATACGACAAAATTGTAAAATGTTGCAGGTTCGGTTTGACTGAGCCTGTTATGGACAGTACTGGAAAGTTACCGTCCACGACCCCTAGCACCGGCTTAAGCAGAATTCAACATTTAAACACATAAATGGTGAAATTTTGAATTTAGAAACATCTGCAGATGTGTTCATACGGCGGTTATCATGGAACCTTCAATGCGACACATAAATCATAAGAAGTAAATAAATTTTCTTGAACATGTTTGTACTTTATTTAAACAATGTCAATTTTTACAAACTTTTTCTACTATTCAACTATATAAGTCTATTTTCATGAAATTGATTCAGATTGAAGTAAATTCTGACAAGGGAATAGCTGTTCTTTATGTGCCAGTAAAAGAAGACTTTTGATGCTAGTTTAGCTGTTAGTATTTTAATAACCATTGCATTTAAGCTTGGAGGTATTTTCTTCTTGCCAAATTTATGGATTTTAGTTGCTTATTTTAAACCTCTGGTCCATTTACTACTTAAATAGTATAAAGCTAAATCTAATGTGTAAATATTTTTATGAAATCTGTTCAAGAATAAGTATGCCTCAGAAATGGTATTATTTTTATTACTCAATTTTTTATTTTTGTTATATTTTTTATAGTTTCCAAAAAGGTAGGTCATTTGCCAATTATCTCAATCATCTTTTTTCTATCGCTTTTTTAGTAATGCTGATTTAGTATTTTGTATGAGAGTCAAAATATTACTTTACTTACATCTTGCCACCTTTATTACAAATAATGTCACAAAATAGGTACTTTCTTCTTTTATCTTATAAGTGTGAGGATTGTCTTCAAACTTAAACACATTGATCTAAATGAATAGGCCTTCAAGTTAACCAGGTATAACCTTACCTTCACTCATAAATGACATTTACCTTTAAGTATTGAAATATTCATTTTTTCCCAGAAACTGGCTATTTTCAAAAAAATATCATTAATTAATGGATTGATTCATATTAAGATACCACATTTAGGATAAGATTTTCATGTGTATCAAACTCGAATTGATCTTCGCTTGTTTGTGACCTTGACCATGAAGGTTAACTTATTGAAATGTGACTTATTTTTGCCATAATTGACTAAAATTCGGTAATTAAAAATGTATTATCTTTATACTTGAACAAAGAAACCTTTTAGACGAGACTTTCTAATAGTTTGAACTGACCTTGACTTTGAGCTTTAAATGATCTTTGCCATCAAGGTCAAATTATTAAATTCTGGTTTAATTGTTTTAATATTATTTTTGTACTCATTTGATTTATACTTGGACAATAGAAGATTTGCTTCCAAGCAAACATATTGAATAATTAAGCTGTGACCTTGAACTTTAATTTAACTTGACCATCAAGGTGAAATAAATGATTATTTTTCTGTAACTGGCTATAACTGTGTTATTTTTAGAATTATCAACTTCAACAAAACATCTTTTAGGTCAGGACTTCCATGTATATCAACTTCAAATTGACCCTGACTCGTGTATGAAATTGACCTTGAAGATCAAACTACTGAATTTTCACTGATTATTGCTATCATTGGCTGTAACTTGGTAATTAATCAATACATTATTGTCATACTTAGACATAACAACCTTTGGACAAGACCTTCTCAAATGTTGAACAGACCTTGATCTTTAAATGACCTTGACCATCAAGGTCAAATTTTTGAATTCAGGTTAAATTATAATTATTTTGTTATTGATGTACTGAGTTGAGTTATACATGAACAAAATAGCACTTCTTATCAAACGAACATGGTTAATAATATAGATATGACATTGACCTCTAATTTCATTAACCGTCAAATGATTGAATTCTGCTCTTATTTTTTTTAATTTGTCATTAATATATGGAAATGATTCATACTCAGACTAAACAAGAAGTGTGACTTGATAGAGATATTAAAAGATTTTTCTTTTTTTAATTTACTTTCTAAAAAAAATTTTTCTTGATTTTCTTTCAAAAGATTTGTTTAAACCATTCATTTGTTTGCTTTGAGAAAAGTATATGCTTAGAGCGTTGCCCCCACCCTGCGAAGACTCTTATTGTAGTGTCGGTCCTTTTGTCTTTCTGTTCGAACTTTGCCCAGTCCATCACTTTCATTTTTGGATGGATATTAAATTGATTTTGTAAAAATGTGTAGCACATTTTTGTAATGTGTCATGTGCAAGTCTATGTCTGATGCTAAAATGTCAAGGTCACACTCCAGTTTCATTGATTGAAATTGAAATTGATTTAAAAATTGTTATGCATAAATGTGTTGGACATAATATTAATATGTCCAAGACAAGAATCACGTCCCTACCTCAAACTTGTATTTCAAAGGTCATGATATGTTGTTTTTAATAAAAGTACACTGATGGTCGTGTCTAGTCAACAAGAATGTAGGACAAAACCCCACATGTCAAAACCCCACACCTCAAAATTTTATAGAGTGGACAAAACCCCACACATGAATTTTATAGAGTTGACAAAACCCCACACCTTCAATTTTATAGAGTGGACATAACCCCACACTTTCCATACAATAGATAATTATGACTTTGATGTAAGAAAAGATTAGCTTGAATATAGAACTTTAGTTATTTTACATAGTTCCTTTGATCATGATCATTAATGGTATCTTATTTTTTATTTCAATAATTACACTGCAATATGATTGAATGATAACAGACTAAACAAAATTAATATTACAAACCGTTAAATAAAAATCAAAAGGTAAACATTCAATAATCTTCCATTCAACAAGTCTATCATTCAACATTAAAACTACTAGTTGAAATTCAATACAACTTCATACAATCGTCAATCACATTGAGAGGAAGTGCAGTGCACAAAAGCCATAACTCTATTTTGACAAATTACAGAGTTATTGCTTTTGATACTTTTTCCTTGTTCTGAGCTTAACTTGAAAAATACTGGTTGGAATTCAAAACAACTTCATACAATGGTCAAGTACAATAAGAGGAAGTGCAGTGCACAAGAACCATAACTCTGTCCAGAGAAATTATAGAGTTATTAGTCCCCTACCGGTTTACCGGAGGGGACTTTAGGTTTACCCTCCGTCCGTCTGTCCGTCTGTCCGTCCGTCTGTCAGTCCGTCAGTCCGTCCGTCCACAAAACTTGATCCCGCGATAACTAGAAAAGTATTGAAAATATTTTTATGAAACTTGGTATATGGATAGATGGCAGTATGGAGATTATGCACGTCATTTTCTATTCTTCCTATGTTGAAAATTTTGGTTGCTATGGCAACAAATAGGCTAAAAATATGGCAAATTTTACACATAAACTGGATCCAGTGATAACGCAAAAAGTACTGGAAATATTTTTATGAAACTTGACATATGGGTAGATGGCAGTCTTGGAATTATGCACGTCATTTTCTTTTCTTCCTATGTTGAAAATTCTAGTTGCTATGGCAACAAATAGGCTGAAAATATGGCAAATTTTACACATAAACTGAATCCAGTGATAACTCAAAAAGTACTGGAAATATTTTTATGAAAATTGACTTATGGGTAGATGGCAGTCTTGAGATTATGCACGTCTTATCTGTTCTTCCTATTTTGAAAAAATATCAGTTGCCTTGGCAACAAATAGGCTTAAAACATGGTAAATATAACAATATTCGTGATTTTGAGTCAAAAAGAGCTGAATTTTTTTATGAAATTGCATCTTTAATTCAAGAGTTATCTCCTCTTTAAGAATTTTGCTTTTAAAATGTTATATTTTGGTAACAGGGATGTTTCAAATATTAACTTTAGAGTGTCCTTCAGTCCGTCTGTCTGTCTGTTAAAAAAACTGTTTCATTTGATCAATTTTAAAGAACTTTTCAACAAGTTTACTTAAAATAGAGAAAAATTGAAACATAAGTGAATGGCCAATGGCCCTTCAGAATGTTGATGGGGTTCTAACCGGTAGGGGACTTATGGATTGCTTGCAATAGTATGATAATTGCTTGTTTTCCTTTGTTACTTTTCCATTGCCTCTTTCTTGTCCAGAGCATAACTTAAAAACTACTAGTTGGAATTCAATACAATTTCATACAATGGTCAAGTATTTTGAGAGAAAGCACAATGCACAGAAACCACCACTCTTTCTTGACTCATTTAAGTGTTTTGCCCTTTTTTACTTTTTATTGTCCAGTATAACTTGATAATTAATGGTTGGAATTCAATGAAACTTCATACAATGGTCAAGGGCAGTGAGATGAAGAACCGTGCACAGAACCATATCTCTATTTGGACAAATTACAGTTATTGCCCTTTGTTCCTTTTTTGTCCAGTGCACAACTTTAAAACTAGTAGTTCGAATTCAATACAACTTCATACAATTGTCAAGCGCAATAAGAGGAAGTGCAGTGTACAATAACCATAACTCTATCTTTACTATTTGTAGAGTTATTGCCCTTTGTTCCTATTCCATGTCCGATGTATAACTTAAAAACTAATGTTTAGACTTCAATGCAACTTCATACAATGGTCAAGCCCAATGAGAGGAAGTGCAGTGCTCAAGAAGCGTAACTCTTTCTGGACTTATTACAGAGTAATTCAATAAAACTTCATCAATGTTCAACCGAATTGAAAGGAAATGTAACATACAAGAACTACAACTATCTTTCATTGCCCACAACCATAACTCTATTTCAATACTTTTGCTATAGGTATTCTGTTACTATTAACTTCCTCATTTCTGAAGCAGTCTTGCGGGGGTATTAATCACATTTAGTGATAGTTCTAGTTTATTTTTATTGCTAAATATTTAAAGTTGCTGACCTTTGTTTAATTGTACTTAGAGGAGCGTCCCTTTTCTGAGGGGTTAAGTTTGCTGACCTGGATTCGGTTGACCCTTAAGGGGTGTCCGTGGCCGAGAGGTTAATGTTGCTGACCTTGATTATATTGACCCTAAAGAGGCGCCCAGGCCAAAATATTAAGGTTGCTTATTTCAACTCAATTGACCCTTGAGGGGCCTCCATGGCAATTAGGTTAAGGTTGCTGACTTTGATTCAATTGACCCTTCAGGAATGTTCCTGGCTGAGAAGTTAAGATTGCTGACCTGGATTCGATTGACCCTTGAGGTGCATCATTGGCCGAGGTTAAGGTTCCTTACCTAGATTCATTTGACCCTTTAGGGGCGTCCGTTGCCCAAAGATTAAGATAGCTGACCTCGATTTAATTGACCTTTGAGGGTTGTCCCTGGTTGAGTGATAAATCGCTGACCTTGATTCAATTGACCCTTGAGGGACGTCCGTGGGCGAAATGTAAATGTTGCTTTTCTCAATGCAGTTAACCCTTGAGTTGCGTTCGAGGCCGAGTAGTATAGGTTGCTGATCTTGAGGGGTGTCCCTGGCCAAAAGGTTATGGTTGCTGACCTTCATTCAATTGACTCTTGAGGGGCATCCGTGGTCGATAGGTTAAGGATGGTGACCTCGATTGAATTGACCTTAGAGGGGCGTCCGTTATTGAGTAGTAAAAGTTGCTGACCTCAATTCATTTAACCCTTGAGGGGTGTCAGTTGCTGAAAGGTTGAAGCTGCTGACCTCGATTCAAGTGACCCCTGAAGGGTATTTGTGACCAAAAGGTTAAGGTTGCTGACCATGATTTACCTGTGGCCAAAATGTCAAAGTTGCTGACCTCCATTAAATAGACATTTGAGGGCTATTTGTGGCGGGATGGTTAAGGTTGTTGACTTCAAACCACTTGTAGACTATCTAGTTAGTGGTTCTACGCATGTGCCCGTTTTTGCCTGACAAAATGTACAGATGTGCATTTGACGTCTTCCTTTACCAGTAAAGCTGGAACAATGTGATATAACATATTTTGTGTTTGTGAGATGTAAAATCCATAAAAAACAAACACACACACACAAAACAATTTACCCTTGTTCATAAGGGATTTTATCCTGCTAGGGACATTGGATTCTTTCATATTAGGAAGTTACATGTATCTACAATGTATATAGCTTACAGATCGCTGGGCTTTCTCAATTCTTATGGTCAGAAGTGTTTTTCCAAAATACCTGCACAAAAATACAAAGAAAGATATTTTATATCTTTCTCCATCAGTACAGTTCGAAAGTAGCCTTGAGATGAAACAACAACAGAGTAATTAAGATTGATTCAGACAATTTGTTTATTTAATAAATGTTTTGTGCAACATTCTAATTATCTCGTTTTATAAACATCTACAATTATACCATACTTTTCTTGTGACCGCAACATGATTTACATACTAGCAACAAGATAATGTCATAGAAAGGAGAAATTGTTTATGAAAATAAATATGTTGAATATTGATTAGCCATTATACAAATGTGACTCCATGTAAAGTAGATATATGCATTTTGTTAGTACATGTATATGATATTAACAATGCACAATGTAAAACTTTGAACAATGAAATATGTGGGTACATATTATAGAATTATAAAAAAATGCTTCATTACAATATCTAAATCATATTCCTATAATCTACTTGGGCAATTTGTTTAGGATATAAAATAGAGAAACTTTGAGAATATAAAAAAATTGTTATCCACTTTATGTTTATGATATTAATTATGTTCATGTATAAAATATGCAATATCAAAATGTTATTTACTTATAATGTATGTCCATTTATAATATAAAGTCACACTCTTTGACTTGTATAAAGCATGTTTGAGTATGAAATTCACTTACATATATTTCTTCATGTCATTATTTTTCATGATTGTCTAATTTAATGTTGTAGGTCATTCTTATATTTAATGACAATTACCAAATCCCTTCAATAACAATTTTCTCATTAACACTGATAACATTCTGTTTAACATTTATAGTACAATAACTCTTAATTGATATCATGATTATAAATTATTGTTTTTTTTTATTTATTTACTTATTGACTAATCAGATACTGTACACTTCAATATTGTCTTCATCTCCTCTGCCTATACACATCTTAGACATTTGTTGATTGCAACAAACTGAGTTTATTCCTTGTTTTTTACTGTCAGCTTTTATGACCTCTCCCATCAGCTCACCATCAGATGTAAACTGTAAAACGTTATTGGAGTGAAGTCCAGAAACCAGCACACTACCTGCTTCAGTGAGATGACAATAATTAGCCCCCTGTAATTGTTTACCATTAAATGTTGTAACAATCTGACCATTTTTGTCAAGTACTATCAGTCCTTTATAACCATCAGCCACATAAATCCTTGTAGCATCCTTACTGACAGCTAGACTGATTATGTTAGAGAACAGTTCCTGTCCTGACTGGTCAGTACTAAACTGTTTAAGTTTCTTGCCAGACATTGTGAAGATATAGACTGATGTGTCATCAGAAATATATAAATGATTGTTTGCATATGCAAGACCAAAACAGGTAAAATCAGTTTTAATCTTGTTTGTTGTTTTCATTTCTCTGTTTATAGAAATGTAATGAACTTTCTGTTGGCTGAATAATGTTACTGCTACTTGTGTTTCATTAATTTTACATGTTTGCCAATGCTCTCCAGGTAAATTATAGTAATCTGTGATAATATAATTGTGACTCTCTAACCGTTTAAGCTTATTGTTGTTGTAATCAGCTAGGATTATTGTATCATCTTCCATATAGCAGGAACTGCAGATATTACATTTTTGTTCATCAGACATAACTTTGACACAGTATGATTGTTCTTCTGTAATCTGAAGCAACTTGTCAGCAGTATTTGTAGCTTTCTCTGTCAGCATGCCAATTGTTTTGTTTTGTTTCAGCTGATGAATGAGCTTTCTGTCAGGTTGAAACTCTATGTCACTTACTGTCATCTTCATTTTGGTATCTTCTATAAATTTGTTTGCAACATTTTCAGCATTTTCTCCCACTTTCACATGAACAAACAATTCAGCCTCATTTGGGTGTGGAGATGCTAAATTTACATTAGCTGATATCACCTTTGCTTTGCTCTCTTGTAGCTGTTTGAGACCTTCTTCAATCTTGTCTTCAAGAAGTTTGAATTTGTTTGCTATCTCATCTTTAGAACATTTTTTTTCAGCTTGTCAAGTTGGTCATTAATTTCTTGTCGGAATTTTCTGATATCATCTAGTAACTCTGCCTTTCTTTTCTGAAGGTTCTCTTTCTCCTGTTGACATTTATTAGTATGTACAGCAATGGTCTTGGCTAATGCTTTCAGCTTTGTTTGAATTTCTCTTGAAGCGACCTGGTATGATTTGTTTTGGGTTAATTCTGGTATATAGAATATATCCGTACATGACCTGGAAAAAAGGAATTAAGTCTGTTTAGGCATCTGAGTGGGAAGTGAAAATAATCTGATTAACTTGTTTACCTTCTGGTTGCAGAATGATAAATCTAACAGCCCTTACCTGGCAAAATGATATGTTTATACAGCTGATTAACTGATTAACTCTTACCATGGAAAAAACTATTTATTATCAATTGGTGAACAGTCTGAAAATGAAAAATAGGTGATATTTGTAACAAAAGATTAGAATTGTATTGTTATCAGTCAGTTTGAATGTAATCAGTATTTACTGACTTTTCTGGCTTTAAACATAAGTCAGTTAAATACTTTTCCTACTATACTTCATTTTCTGCAAGGAAATATAAACAAGGATAAAAAACTAATGCAAAAATGTTCATAAACTTTTTATGATAAGAAAAATCATAACTGAAATAAATTGATGGAAAGAAATTGAGGGGACACCATCCTTCTCTTTGATTACCACCTATTTGAGTTTTCTGCTCGTGAAAATGAAATAATAGATAATTAAAAAACACACTTTCAGGGGCAATTAGGAAGGGGATCTCAGCTTTAAGTGATAAATACTTCTTGATAACGATAATAAAAAGTTAAATTATCATTATTCTAAAAGTTACCTGTGATCAATTGCCATACATGTAGAACAGCCAACATTATCATGATTCTGACAGTACAAATCAATGTGTTTATGACTGTGTCTGTCACATCTTACTGCTGGTGCCTTCGGCAGACCTTTACTGGTTCCTGACTTAACCTGAGATTTATCCAACACCTTGTGATCAACACACAAAGGGGCTTGACTGTGAACAGTGACACAATTTATACAGAAATAATCATGACAGTCTACACAAAATTTTTCACCTTCAGATTTTTTACCTCGATTTTTACACATTGAACAAAGTACTTCAAATAGTTCATCTGCAAGAATATCCGTATTTATTTCTCCACCTGTAGCCATTTTGTTGAATATCTAGTTGAAAGAGGTTTACTTAGTTTATCTAAACAACGCCTAAAGATAGATAAAAATTATCATAGTTTCTTTTCACGATCATTTCAAACAATAATAATTTATACTAACATCACTTTTAAAGTGTCTCCTTATACAGCTTTTACAACAATGAACCTTTTTTTCACCTCTACTTTTATGAATACAAGTACCAATCACCTTGAATTTAACTTTTAAAGATTAAGTTACAGTCATGGACTGTCTTATCTTATATGGCTTACATTTATTAAACCTTTTAATATATTGATTGTTGAACGTCTTGTCTCGATAAATTGTTCAACCATAAATGTTTACATTTGTCAATAGGTGCTGTTTTTTTGAAAATATTGGATAAGGAAGTGTTGTGTTTAGTAAATATATAGCTATTAAGAATTAAAACAATTTTAGTTGACATAGGGCACAAACAATCCACCTAACTTAACCCTTTACCTCATATATACGCGAAACAACGCATTTTCGACCCCCCCCCTTTTATAGGCCTCAAATAGTGAAAAAATGTCTTCGTTTGAGAAATGTTGCTAAAAAAAAGTGAGCACTTTTTCAGCGCCGCCCCCATCCAAAAGATACATCAGGGGGTTGGCAGAAGGGGGATGTGCCCCCTTCTGTTAGGGGTGTTTGAAGGGGGGCGGAGTCCCCTTCATCGCCAAGAAAATTTTGGACTTGTGAGAGGCTAAAAATGACCCCAGGTCGATCATAATGTAACGTGTAACCAACGCTGAAAAGCCTTTGACTCTATCTCAATCCCTTGAGAAGTTGCAGCACTTTGAAATAAATTTTGATGGAAAAAATCGAGGCAAAATAGTGATTTTTGGCAATTTTGAGATGTCCCCTCGTTGCCATGGTAACAGGAAATTTAAGACTGAGCATGTCGTTACAAAGGCAATGGTCCAGTCAACATTTGTGCCAAGTTTGATTAGTATTGAAGCATTTTTCATAGTTTCATAGCAGTTTGAACTTGTAACAGGAGGCTTTTCAGTGAAAACGGCCATTTTTCACAATATGCTCATGGGGGAAAGGGTTAACTAAAAAAATAAAAATGTTACAAAACATCAATTTTTCACCAAAATTAGGTGAAAGACCACATGTTAACATGGAAAAACTAGTTTTTAGGTGATTCCAAAGTTTTTCATCATTTTTGTTAACCCTTTACCTCATATAAACGCGAAACAACGCATTTTCGACCCCTTCCCCTTTTATAGGCCTCAAATAGTGAAAAAATGTCCTTTTCGGGCCCCAAACACATGTTTTCGTTTGAGAAATGTTGCTAAAAAAAGTGAGCACTTTTTCGGCGCCGCCCCCATCCAAAAGATACATCAGGGGGTTGGCAGAAGGGGGATGTGCCCCCTTCTGTTAGGGGGGTTTGAAGGGTGGCAGAGTCCCTCTCATCGCCAAGAAAATTTTGGACTTGTGAGAGGCTAAAAATGACCCCAGGTCGTCATAATTTAACGTGTAACCAACGCTGAAAAGCCTTTGACTCTATCTCAATCCCTTGAGAAGTTGCAGCACTTTGAAATAAACTTTGATGGAAAAAATCGAGGCAAAATATTGATTTTTGGCAATTTTGAGATGTCCCCTCGTTGCTATGGTAACAGGAAATTTAAGACTGAGCATGTCGTTACAAAGGCAATGGTCCAGTCAACATTTGTGCCAAGTTTGATTAGTATTGAAGCATTTTTCATAGTTTCATAGCAGTTTGAACTTGTAACAGGAGGCTTTTCAGTGAAAACGGTCATTTTTTCACAATATGCTAATGGGGGAAAGGGTTAATAACATAAAGTAAGTCAAAGTATGCAAATTAGTATAACCTTGCATGTAAAATTAATAGAAAAAATATTTTGTTTTTAATTTTTATACACCCATTTGGAAAATTAAATGGGTCGTGTTATAAAAACGCCCTTGGCTGGCGGGCGGCTGGTGGTGTCTACTTTTTGTCCGGAAAATATATCCTACACACATCGAGGGATTTTGAAATATTCACCATTTTGAGAAGCGGTGTCGTGGACATTAACAAGGTCTGTAGATCAAACGTCAAGGTCACAGATTGTGGTCATTGAAATGCTTGTCCGGAGCAAATATTTTCCAAGCAAATAGGGGTATCAATATTACTTCGCACAAATGTTCACCATTGTGAAGTGGAATGTCAAGCGCAATATTTAAGTCGCAGTGGCTAAGGTCAAAGTTTTATATAGGGGTAAAAGTTCAAATGAAAATATGAAAATGTGTATATGGACCCTTTTATTAACATTTGTTGAGGGATCGAAACACAAATGGTAATTAGCATGACAACATCTGTAGCACTAATTTAGGTCAATATATGCAAGGTCAAGGTCGCTGATGATGATATATCCAGATATTGTCCAGATCATATCTCCTACACGCATAGAGGGATTTTTATGAAACTTCAAAGAAATAATCACCACTATGTGAAGCTGTGTTGAGCACATGAACAAGGTCTCTAGGTCAAAAGTCAAAGTCACACTTAGAGGTCTGGGAAGTGTCCTGATAAAAACCACTGATATCGGATAGCTTCCTCACAAGAAAGAAAGTACTTTATTTTTGTCCAGAGCATAACTTTAAGTCAATATGATGTTTGAAATCAATTTAAAGTTTCTTTTTCTACTGTATTTGAATATAAGTCAATTTCACAAAACTGTTTCTTTTGTACTCAAATAGATGTCAATTAATTTTCTTGAAAATGTTTGTACTGCATTTAAATATCAGTCAATTTCAATTTTCACAAGTCTTTTTCTACTATTTTACAATATAAATCTTTTTTCATGAAATCGTTTCAGATTGTAGTAAATTCTGACACGAGAATAGCTGTTCTTCATGTGCCAGTAAAAGAATTTGATGCTATTTTAGCTGTAAGTATTTTACCATTGCATTTTGGCTTGGAGGCATTTTCTTCCTGCTAAATTTATGAATTCAAGTTGCTAATTTTAAACCACTGGTCTCTTTACTTCTTAAAATAGTATAAAGTTATATCTGATGTGTAAATATTTTTCTCAGAAAAAGTATAATTTTTATTTCTCAATTTTGTATTTTTGGTATACTTTAATAGTTTCCAAAAGGTAGGTCATTTGCTAATTATCTGAATCATATTTTTCTGTCGTTGCTGTTTAGCGATTTTAATAGTGATGCTGATGTAGTATTTTGTATGAGGGTCAAAATACTACTCTGTTCACAGTTTGCCACTTTTATGACAAATAATTTCACAATAACGTTCCATCAGGTTTATGGTTAAGTTAACTGTATAAATAGCATAAAACAATGTTTTGTTATCTTTAAATATTGTAACTAGTAAAAGTTGACAATATTTGATTAATGAATTTTCAAATTATTTATTAAAGGTTTTACTATGGTCTGTAAATAAGAACTGACAAGATATTCAATCTAAATTGTTTCAATGACCTATACCCCCACAAACGAGTGACCAGTACCATCCAAAGTTGTGCATTTCATCAGCACATTCCGCTTCGCTGCAAAAACTGGCCGCCAGAGCTATAAACAGAAAAGTCTTGTCTTGCTTTTAAAGGTCAAGCTGCTTGCGGGATTTCAATGAAACTTCACAGGAGTGATCAGGACCATACCTTTTGGGCATAAAACCAGCATGTACGGCTTAGTTTTTGCCAAAATGTCATAGCTATACATATAAAAGCTTTTCCGGCTTTCACAGTTCGAAGTCCTGACCAAATTTCATTGGAACATCACAGGAGTGATCAATATCATCCCTAGTTGATATCGCTGGCAAATTCCACTTCGCTGCACAAAAGGGCGGCAGAGCTATATATAGTACAATCTTGTCCGGCTTTCACAAGCCAAACTCGGCGGGATTTCATAGAAACTTCACAAGAGTGATCAGTACCATACCTTGCATATCGCCGCCAGGTTCTGCATTGCTGCACAAAATGGCTGTTGGAGCTATAAATAAAAAATCTTGTCCAGCTTTCACAGGTCAAACTCCACGCGAGATTTCAATGAAACTTCACAGGAGTGATCAATACCATACCTAGCTGTGTGTATCACGGGGCCATTCTGCTTTGCTAAACAAAATGGCTTCCAGAGTTTAAATTTAAAAGCTTGTCCAGCTTTCACGGGCCAAACTTCTGGGGAGGGGGTTCAACAAGAATTCACAGGAGTGATCAGTACCATACCTAGTTTTAGGAGACATATGTTTTTGTGACAAAAGTCCTTTCTAGTTTTTTGACGGATTCGGATTTTCGGAACTTGAACACAATAATCTTTTAGGATAGGCTTACAAGTTCAGACATAACCTGATCTTCACGCATAAATGACATGGACCTTTAAGTATTGAATTTTTTATTTTATTTTTTATTTATTTATTTTTGATTTATTTATTTTTGTTTGGACTTGCTAAAACTAAAAGTTTGTTATTAATTAATGGATTGACTTCATATTTAGATACAACATTCTGGATAAGACCTTCAAGTGTATCAAACTCGAACCGATTTTGGACCTTGAACATAAGGTTAAATTATTGAAATTTCTCTGATTTTTGCTATAATTGGCTAGAACTTAGTAATTAAAAGATGGATTATCTTCATAGTTGAACAAAACAACCTTTTGTACAAGACTTTCTTAAAGGTTGAACAGACCGTGAGATTTAAATTTTGGTTCAATTGTCATTTTTTTTTATTTATGTACTGATTTGATACATATATGAACAAAACAACACTTGTGATCAAACGAAGATGTTGTATAATTTAGATATGGCCTTGACCTCTTTATGTCCTTGACCGTCAAATGATTGAATTCTGTTTATATTTTCTATTTTATTTCATTTATATATTCATACTTGGACTAACCAAGAAGTGTGACTAGATAGAGATATTATTTTTTTTTTTTTTAATTTTCTTTCTAAAATTTTTCTTTTTTAAAAATTTTCTTGCTAAAGATTTGTTTAAACCATTCATTTGTTTGCTTATAGAAAAGTAAAAAAGGTAAGAACGATGCCCCCTCCCTGCGGTGACTTATTGTAGTGTCGGTCCTCCTGTCCTTCTGTTCGAACTTTTTCCGGTTCAAAACTTTTATTTTTGGATGGATATTAAAATAATTTTGTAAAAATGTGTAGCACATTTTTGCAATGTGTCATGTGCAAGTCTATGTCTGATGCTAAAAGGTCAAGGTCACACTCCAGTTTCATTGATAAATGAATTTAAAAATATTATGCATAAATGTGT